TTGGCCTCAGCCCATTAAGTTTTGTGTTTAGTCAAAAGATCCTTGCAGCTTTGAAAACCACTTCATCAGATATGGGTGCTCGATTGTGCTGATGTCCTTTTCGAGGTAATACCGAGCCACAAACCCTTGGCGCTGCGGTTGCACTGTAAGCAGAGGGTTTGGGCTGAGTTTTGAGAGAGAATGGCCGAAGACCCTAGGGTCAAAATGTTGTGTATTTTAAAGGTTACATAGCTATATATAGCCACGGCAGGGTTTTCTTTGTAACCAGTCAGATTTACTTGTTCAGTAAATTCCAGACTTCTCCTATAAAAGACAAAAAAAAAAAGTACTATTTGGCTGTTTTCTGCTATTCACCCCTGTGTCTCTCTTTGCAGGATTCATGAATAAAATTTTCCATCCCAACATCGACGAAGCGTAAGTAAATCCCCAGTGTGTGGTTTTTCTCTGCTCTTTTGTCTAATTGTAATTGTATTTTGGCTTCCTGATAATACTTTCATCAACCTGAGCATCCGCAGTGGGGAATTTGATGGAAGTAAATGCCACAAGTTAAGTTTTGGGAGCGGGTCAGGGGTTTGGGCAAGACTAGAGAGCTCTTTGCATTGCAACGTGCTGAATTTACAGGAAACTCAAGGTTTCCAATCCCCCTCCTCATTTGCATCGTGCTGTCTTCATAGAAACAAGGAACAGCATCGACTGAGCCATAGCTCAAGCTAAAAGTTCACATCCGTACTAAAATTCTTCAAAACTTAAGGTGGTTTTTGCCACATTTTTTTTTTGGATTAAGATTTAAGGGCAGCCACCTATGCTTCAGTGTCTCCAGCAGAGCCCCACAAGGACCAACTAATTCAGTAATGGCTCCAATTTATTTTCTTTTGTGCAGAGTAGGAAGATTCATGTAGCTAAAGGCTGCCTCTGTTAACCACAAGGCAGGAGTAAATCATAGCTTATCCGAAACAGCGGGGCAGAGGCAGGGCAGGGGAAAGGAGGGAGGGGGTAGCTTATATTAAATCCCTGGAGTATTTTTGAGTGTGACTGTGTTTAATTCCATCCTTTCCATATGTTTCAGGTCAGGAACTGTATGTCTAGATGTAATCAATCAAACTTGGACAGCTCTCTACGGTGAGTTTGGCGTTTCCCCGAAAGCCGATCGCGTGAGCATCCTTTTTTTTTTTGGTGTGTTAACCCAACGCAGCTTGCTGGAGACAGATGACCTCAGGCCAACTCTTTATTTTGTTTGTCTGTTGTTATAACTGAAGTTTTAGGCTCCTCACCGAGCCAAGATCATAGTTTCATAACCTGTTTTTATGGCAGAGAGGTGAAAATGTTCCATAAACCTCGCAAAGGATCGCTCACTCCATTGCCTGGCGGCGTCTGGCAGCTGCACAACAGCACCCAGCCATGATTCAGCATTGCAGGAAGAGGAGTGACTGTATCTAAAGTGAAACCTAGTTCCAGCTACCCCATCCGTGTTTTTGTACGTGCATTCGAGCTGGTATTAATTGTGCACGAGGCTGTGATCCCACTTCTACAGAAGATGGCACCAGAAACCCTTCCTGTTTGTCATGGCAGCAGCGTTTCGTCGCAGGGCAGGAGGTGGGGGTGCATCTAATGACTGCAGAATATTTTGGGCTTCCCATTAGGTCGTGTCTGGCTATAACTCCTCTTCTTTTAGAGCTAGAAAAAGGTTTGCTGGTAGCTGAGACCCATTAAAATAGCATTTAGGGAAAGCTGAAGTTGTTATAAAGGAATGCAGCCGAGTATCTAGTCTAGGTTGGCTGCATTTTAAAAACGTGAACTTCTTCAGATGTTCCAACTCTGCTTTGTGGGAGAGCGTTCGGGGAAACGTGCACATCAAATCCTTCACATTCTTCCATGAAAAGCTGGTTTTCCCTCGGCGAGTTGAAGCTTTGAAGCAGTTGCTAGAGAGACGAGCTGCTTCACCTTCCTCGCCAGCAAAATCTGTAAGGGAATACCAGGCTTGGTGAATCCTGGGTGGGAAATCGCTATAGCAACTTGTTGAACTTTCCTCCTCATCAAAATGCCTGAAGTCCTCACGTAGCAGATGCTTGGCATACACTTCACATGGTTTTGGTGTGAGAGATCCCCTTAGCCGTGACCCAGGTGGTGTTACTAACGTAGGAAGAGAATGCTTTTGTGTCCTGGGAAGGTCTGATGCGAAGCAGAGGGATTAAAGCCATGTTCACAACCCAAATGCTCTGCTGGGAATGATCCTGTGTGGTTCAGGCAGCAGAATCCAGCTCAGTGCTGCTGTTCCAACCCCTAAATGCCACCTGCAGCTCGTGGAGGTGACTGGACAAAAGCAAAACAGCTCTGGTGTAACCGTGGTGCTGCTTTTTGTGCTCTGGCAGTTTGGTTTTGCTTTAGAAGCCATGCATGGAGAGCCTCCCCGTTCTGCAGCACGATCTCGCAGACGGCCACAGTGGGGTTTCTGCACTATTTCCAAACAGTTTCACAGGAAGGCTTTCTGTGAGAGGTTTCCTAATGAGCGCTGCTGCGTTTTTTTGTCATCGCTGTTGCTCGTGAAGGTAGAAAAACCAGGTTGGTATTTACTATGCTTGCGAGATATTAACATCAACCAGCTTGTAAAAAAATCTTCTGCGTTTTTCCTTGCGATATCAGTGATAGGTATTGGCAACTTGAAAGCATCGGGTGTGTATTCTGGTGTATTTTTCCACAGCAGCTGGTGCAGTTTGGCATTGGAAAGCGCATCGCTTGACAGTCCTCTTCTTGCAAAATTCCCTTGCCTTGCTGTAGGATGCCTTGAAGCTGCAGGGAGGACGCTGGGATGACTGCATTCACTCAGAAGTCACCAACACGAGAGTTGCCTCCATCACCTCTTCACTTCCAGGGCTTTGCCTCTGTATCCAAAATGAAGAGGTGGTCCATTTTCTGAATGAAAAAGGGGGAAATAATATTCCCCAATGCCTCTCAGCACAGCTGTGGTGTTTGGAGCATCCCCACTTTAAACCAGAGCGCTCCTTGCGCTGGCAGAGGAAATGGGTCAGAGAATTCCAGAAGCAACTAAGGTGGAAGAGACCCAGAATAGCTACCAATAAATTCAGGAGGAGCTCGTGGTTAGATTCCCTCTCCTTAACTAATGAAGTATCAAGTTCTTAGCACTGAGGTTGGGCTTCCCACACGTATTCACTGGTTCCTGCTAAACCGATGGCACTACTGAGGATTTGAGAGAATGGGGGAATTATTGAGGGCTCTTAAAAATAAATCAAATCCCTGTAGTGTGTCCTGTGAGCCATGGTGGCCTTCCAGGGCTCTGCTTGCTCAGCCTAGATGAGAATTTAGTTGTCTGATGGCCACAAAGAGGGACTTGATCTAAGCCTACTAAGAAACTTGACCCCAGACCAGATCTGGGTCACAAACTGAAGTCAGCTTCTTGCTGATGGTGCCTGAACCCAATTCCTAGGAGGTTTAACTGGTTTACCAAGGGCAAGCCTCTACTGTAGAGGAAAATATACTTACAGAGCATTCTCTCTGGTTTTTGTGGTCCCTTTTTGGGTGAGGTTCCTTCTTCCAGTTGCTGTTGTGTTCATCCTAGAAGCAGCTGGTGGCACCAGGCCACCATGGCAAACTTGGTCAAGGTACCATGTGTGCTCTCAACTGCTTCATCGCTGTCCTCTGCCAGTATTGGAAGGGGCAACAGCTTCTTTATAGCAGAAGGAGACTTCAGGGTAAAACCACCTGATTTCTTATTGATATCCTTGTATAGTAGTGAGGAACTGATTGCTGTCTATAGTAATTAACATCATTACTTTTTACAGTTGGGTGATGCAGCCATAACGAACCCTGTGCTCCTAAGTGTGTAAAGCCATGGCCTTTCCCCCTGCTTGGCTGGGTTTATGCTGAATGGGCGACTGGCGTAGTCATAGTGCGGTGTCTCTACATCCTGGACGTGTTGATGCAGGAGGGACAAAAAGTTGAGTCGTCTTTGATCCTCCTGAGTAAGATCAAATAAGCACAGCCTTGCGAGGACCCGCCTCGAATCCTGTGCTCAGTTTGGGGCCCCTCCCTACAAGAAGGACATTGAGGGGCTGGATCTACTGTGCAGCTCTTTTCAAGCTGTATCTTCACTGGTGGTGGAGTTAGAGCCTGGTTTTCTGTGGCTGCAGCCCAGAGCCATAGGAAGCATTTGCACAGGGAGAGCACTTGGAGATCTGGCTTGGGCAGCAGGAGCAGGGAGGTGATTGTGCCCCTGTGCTGGGCACTGGTGAGGCTGCACCTTGAATCTTGGGGTCAGTTTTGGGCCCCTCATTCCCAGAAGGACATTGAGGGGCTGGAGCGTGGCCAGAGAAGGGCAACGGAGCTGGTGAAGGGTCTGGAGCACCTGAATGATGGGGAATGGCTGAGGGAGCTGGGGTTGTTTAGTTTGGAGAAGAGGAGCCTGAGGGGGAGACCTTATCCCCTCTACAGCTCCTGAAAGGAGGGGGTAGAGAGGTGGGTGTTGGTCTCTTCTTCCCTGTAACCAGTGACAGGACAAGGGGAAATGGCCTCAGGTTGCACCAGGGGAGGGTTAGATTGGATATGAGGAGAAATTTCTTCATTGTAAGAGTTCTCAGGCACTGGAAGGGGCTGCCCACGGAGGTGGTGGAGTCCCCATCCCTGGAGGGGTTCAAGAAGCACCTGGATGTGGCACTTGGGGACGTGGTTTAGTGGCCATGGTGGGGTTGGGTTGATGTTGGAGTGGATGATCTTGGAGGTCTCTTCCAACCTTAATGATGCTGTGATCTCTCCCTCCTACCTGCCCACCCATTTTTGATGAATTTTTTGGGAAGTTAAGGGCTCTGAGGTCCCTGCCCTCCCTCAGATCTGGTTGCCTTTAGCAGCTCTGTGACAGGTTGAGATGGCTCAACTGCTCACGTGGTGGATCCTTGGCAATGCTGGACATCCCTTCTGTCATCTCCACTTCGATTAACGCTAGAGAGGACAAATGATGCTCGTCCACAGGCAGGATTTCCCTTCCATCACTTCCTTTAGTTAGGAAAGGAGGATTCTGATAAAAGATGTGTAGAAAATTCCCCAAAAAAACCCCTATGATGAAACCTGGGTGTTTAACTTCCACTCTACATGGATGCACGTGGTCCTTCTGAAGCCCCCAAGGAGAAATGATGACACAGGGTTTGTTTTGGGACACCCTCACCTCTGAACTGTGGTCCTTGTCATCTGAAGGATATGGGAAGAGGGTTTCGTGTATCCACAATTACTCATCGGCCCCAGAAGCGTGTTTCCTGGTGTGGATTATTTGGTGACAGATGCCAACTGGCACCGAGGTGTTAATGTGAGCTCTTCGCATTCTGCGAATTGTTTTGAGTCGGAGGAGGGACTTGTTGGTTGCTCTTTCTATTAACGCAGCCATCTAAAGTGCTCTGGAAGATGCTTTATGCTTGAGATACGTCAGTTTAGTCCTGGAGCGTAAGGCATTTAAAGACAGCAATAGAAGGGGGCTGAAGTGGAAGAATTCAGTGAGGTGTGAAGCGCAACGCTTTGTTTTTCTCTTTTCCTCTTATTTTTTTAAGCCAGGGTTGAGCCTCAGTGAGAAACAAAACTGCTGTGTCCATCCACTTCTTCACTCAACCCGCACATATCAGTATCTACGTTTTTGGGATGTCGATGTTACGCTGAGGAGCTGCAGCGTATCTCCAAAAACCCTCTTACCAACCGTGTCTATATTCTCCCCAATGCTGTTATTGTCATTTTAACTTGTGCCCAAATTTTCAGCCCGTTTGCCTTTCAAGCTTTGCGCCGCGCGATGATTCACGGGACTGACTCTCTCTTTCACTTGCAGATCTCACCAATATATTTGAATCGTTCCTGCCCCAGCTGCTGGCCTATCCTAACCCTATAGATCCTCTAAATGGTGACGCTGCAGCCATGTACCTCCACCGACCAGAAGAGTACAAACAGAAAATTAAAGGTAAGGGCTTAAATAACATACTACGGGATGAGTGGTGTTCCTGGTGAATCCACCCTGGGGGAATGAGGTCATGGCTGCACTTTGGTGTGTCAGTGTCCATTCCTTCCCATCACAGAGGTCTATCTTAAATGGGAATGGCTTGAAGTAAGAGATGGATGAACTCTTGCTGGTGGAGGGAATATGTGGGGCAGGGCTTTTTAAATCAATTAGCAGACCCCAAACAGGGAAGGCTGTAAGCAGACTGCGTTAGGATTACACACAGTTTTGAGAGATCGGAGAAATTATTCGGAAAAGAAGGTGTGCAGCTGAAGAAGGGACAAGGAAAAGTGCTGAATTGAAACAGGAGCATCCAGCTGCACACTTACTGGATATAAATTGGCTTGGTGGCCGTTCTGTGGAAAGTGATCCGAGAGCAGCAATCGAGGAGTCGCTGATGCTGTTGCAGAAAGCACTTTAGTACTGTGACAGAGCAGGAATTTTAGGTAAATACCAAATAATCATCCCTTGCTACTTCAAGGTTAAGCCAAGGCTTACTGATTCTGTGCTTGGTTCAGGGGCTGCTGTTTGAGAAAGCTCTGGAGTAGTTAATAATGTCTTGAAGCATGTAACAAGGGCAGATGGTCTTGATAAATCTTAAGGGGAGAGACGGAAAGAACTGGAAGTGTTTAATCTAGAGGACTGAACAGAGTTGTCAGCTTTGTGTCAAAGGTGCTTTTTGAAGAGGAAGGGAATGATTTATGGTGTGAGCACGATGTGATCGCAGGTGTGGAACTCATGGGGGAGCCCAGGCTAAACATTAACAGTGATGGGGAGGGTAGGTGAGCACTGGTAGAGCTGGTGGAGGTCCTGCTGCGTCTGCTCTTGGACAACGCTGAGAAGTAGAATCACAGAACGTGTTGGGTTGGAAGGG